GATAAAAAAATAAGAAATTTTTTTTAAAACATTGCCCTTATTTTACGGTAATATTATCCCGTGTTGTAAGAAATCTCTTTTGTTGTGACGGATTTTTTTTGTTTAGAAGTTGTTTGGTATAAATTGAGAATAACGACTGTACTTAACATTAACAGAATTTAATGTTTTTAAACCTTAAAAAACATAAAAAGAGCCGTGATAGCTCAGTGTTCGGACGCTCGCCTTTAATTCTATATACTCGAGCAACCTGAGTTCGATCTCCGGTGCCGGCACCAATGAAGTTTTTAACTTTAAGTGCTGACTTATCACGTGCTCCAAAGTGAAGGAAAACATCGTGAGGATACCTGCATATTTTCGAAATAATAACAAAAAAAAATTATTTCGAAGATATGTGATGTCTGCCAATCCGCAGTGGGCCGCGTGGTGGACTATGCCCTGATACCCTCTGTATAAAGGAGGCCTTTGCTCAGCGGTGGGACATGTATAGGCTGTTACTTTTACTTTTTTTAAACCTTAAAAAATATTGACAATACGTTGTGCATGACTACATTTATTAACAAGGGATGAAATGGAGAGCGATAGGACTTTTGGTATAAACCGAAGAGCGTCGTCGGCACTAGTAGGTACTCAAATACAGGGGAGCCCACAAAAAAGCATCACGGTCAAGGAAAGAGTACCTGATCTATACTACTCAGCTCAGATCAGCAAGATTGTTTCATGAGACTCTACAAGATCGATAGATATACAGGGTGGCTTTTCTAAAGGTGCCCAAATTCACACAGGAGGTTCAGATCCGGTAGTATAATCGTTTATTGAAATAAAACCATATATACCATAAATAAAACCTTTTTTTCCAAAAAAATTGCAATTCTATTCCTTCAAAAACAGAACTTGTTGACAATGCGGAAGTCATTTATAAATGTGTCGTATACTTTTGAAACGAACTTTTGTGCGTGTTAGTTATGAATGATCGCGCGTAAATGAGTTGCCCATAAATCACTCACTTTTTGAGATAAGTTCAAATGAATGTTATTAATTTATTACTAGTGATTTATATATTTATCATTTTTTTATATAATATTAATTATGTCTATAATTTAATAAAAAAAATGGATACACTTAAAAAAGCCTCCCTGTATATGGTCGAGTGATTGGGTTACTGCTTCAAAACGGGAATGAATTCGTTGTTAGCCACCAAATTGTACAAAACAGACTGCATATAAAGTTCGAAATAACCACTATGGTCATTTTGTATAAAAGAATATTAGCCGTGCATTTAAATTAAATAAACTTGGACCGATTTTTTTCTTTTTTTTTATATTACTCCTCATCACACATACATCGTGTATTTTTTAGAATTCCATACTTTCAAAGGTAAAAAGGGAACCCTTATAACATCACTTTCTTGTCCGTGTGTCACCAGCGATTTTCTCAGGAACAGAACCTAGCAAGTTGAAATTTATAGATAATAAGCTACCTACCAGATAATGAGCTACTATAGTCCCTATTAGCTGTATAATAATCTACCTGAGTCAACACCATAAAAAGATATGGGCAAATTTAGATTGTCACGAAGTTTTAAGTACCAAAATTTATCTTAATTTTCACCTTTGTTATTTTTAGGAATTTTCCCTTTACTTGTGCTTTGGTACTTACTAAGTTTTAACTTTTAATAAAATATACGACTAACGTACTTATTTCGCAGGGACCATAAACCGCCATATTTTCATCACATAGGTACCATTTTTTGGTGATGTCTTGATGTTAAGCATATGTAAGATGTCTAAATAATGTTGTTAAATGAAGCAATCTAAGCGATCAATAGTACCGTATTACGCTTAACCAGAGCTACCATCAACTTGTAACATTTTTTTTCTGCTACCTGATTGTGCCTTAAATATATAACCGTATAGTGACGAGCCTATAGCTATGAACGTGGCGCAAATATAAAACAACGTTTTTGGCTTTCAGCAAATACGATACACTTGCCAGTGGTATTCGAACTCACGACCTCTTAACAAAAAGATAGTCTACAAGCAGCGTCACTAGAATGTACTTCTGGACAATAAATTTCCTCCACATTCTTTTACATAATTTTATTCAATCCCAAAATCAATAAGGCTAGTTATATGAATAACAGGTAAATGATACCTATTTAAAAATATATTTCTTATTCATAAATAAGAAAAGTATACCTACAGCAGTACACGTAAGTAACAGCCAGAATCTAGAAAAAATATTAAGTTCGTCACGTTTTTCCATTAGTGGCGGTCGAAGCAACCACTTCGGGCGGAAGATATGTACCTCCTTTTTCTTTTATAACTGTAAATACCGTTAAAATAAGATATTATAATTGTATACTTCTGATGCAGTGTATAATAGCTAGTGGTAGAAACTTAATTGGCCCACATATCTGTGTGTAATTATACTATTTATTTTATGTAAGTGCTGTTTGTTTTCCTAATCAATAAAATAAAAATAAGAGACTAAGCCAATCTAAGCCATTCAGTCTCGGGTCACGTTGGTGTCATGATCAACATTTTATTCTACCACTGCGTGGACAGTAATACTGGTTTTGGCGACCATCAATAACCGCTTAGGGTCGTGAGCTCTTCAAATCTATAAGAACATACTTCATCTTTTGATTCCATCAACGGTGGTGCGGATTGTTGGACTGTAATATCCATTAAGGAATTTAAAAAAAAGTATATACTCATACGCGGATGATGTGATGTCAAAGAAAAAGTAACACAGTTTAATAAAAATCCTCAAAAATTGGTCACAAGTGTAGAGTTCAAATTATAAAGGGGATTATAAATAAAAAGCGCACGAGTGTTTAAAATCTATTTTAATATCCATACATAAATGGACACGAAATCTCACACTTCAGCAATGTCTTCATAATTGAAGCAAGTATAAAAACATTGTTAAAGATAGTTAAAATACCAAATAGAAAAATTATATAAGAGGATTCTAAAAGGAATTACGTAATTAATACTAATACTTAATGTTTATACGATTACACGATATACTAATCTCCTACGTGCTTCTTTAAGTGCATTCGCTAAGTTCTAGTCACAAACTAAGTGACATAGTACACCAGAAGACTTTTATTAGAAAAAGTCCGAGTGTACATGTTACAAAACTACCCGGTGGAAATTTCCATCGCTCTAATGCGAACAAACTTCTTCCGGGTGGTACGTCGTTACAGAAATACATATTAAAAACATACGGTTATCATAGTGCATTCTATTGCATAATATAGTCGGTTACGCGTTAACGGTTATGTTATAGATTAAGGAGTACAACACTACATTCGATTAGCGACACTATATAATTTTTAATACGATATAACGGGAAAAATCACATTCTTTCAAATATGTAACTTAAGACTAACGTAAAAAAAACCGTGCTTAAAATGGCAAAACGCATTCATCCCACCTCTTTCTGGCCTCTTGTGCATCCATTACAAGTTTGATTTAAAATGAAAACAAAACATGGCAGTCAATCTTCAATACTACATCAACGCGCACGGGCACAGTCTTATTTGTTGTTAAAATTAAATAATTGTTCCATTCAGCCGATTAACACAAAAAGGAAACGCAAAATTAACACACACCCTACTGCTACTTAAATGCGCGCGTTAGATTAACAATTTCAATTACTTAGTCAACTAAGGTTTTTAAAGCCTAGAAAAAAAAAATCCTTATCATAGTTATAAATTACCCTATGTTCCCATTACGCGCGTTTTATACCAGTCGTGTGTATAAGTTTTTAATATAATCGATGCAGGGCTATGCGCGTGTCGGTCGACAGAATTCCGATGAAGAAATAACAAGACCTTGTATTTCCTCAATAATAGCACCAACATGTTTTAAAAAAGAAAACAAAACAATAAACCAATTAAAAAAGAAACACAAGAGAAAATAATTGAAAGCTGCTCCGTTACAACGCTATCTGTTTTCATTCTATCACAGGCCTCTTGGTAATAATAACACCGAAGACTTAAATCGTTAACAATGCCAATCTTCAAAATAACATGCAGTCTGCAAAGCAAGTTTCCATTAGCAGGACCGAGACAACACAAATAGTTAACGATTTAACCCTTTGATTACATTGATTTGTACTCACAGATTGTTGTTATATTAAAAAATAATAAGAAAATGAACTTCAATATAAGAATCGTTTTTTACCAGAACAATTAACTCGAAAATATAAACTAAAACTGAAAAGCTTTAAGTATTGCAGTTTACAAAAGTAATAAACACACATGGATGTAGTAACACTAAACACATACAGATTAACAAATAGATTAATTGTCTATTACATGTGTTGCCATTTTACAGATTACATATTACAAAAAAATACATTTTCTTGTTCCTTCTACCTCGTCTAGAATGTTTAACACCATAAGATAAAGCACTACAGTTTGTTATTTACGTGACAATATTACTTCATAATAATATCTCCATTAGCTAAATTTATTGCTGTACTACCACTAAGCATTCACTGTTAGTCTAAGTTTTCCATCAAAGGCTGTCTGAAACATCAGCTTCCCATATACAAAGCTAGAATACAGATGGATTATAGGCTGCTTAGTGGTAGAGTATAATGTTAACAAGGTCCAACAGAGGTCAAAGTATATCAGTGTCATACCAAACAAGAGTCCAATTGTAGTTCTTTGCTTATAGGTTCCGGACAGGGGGTCAATGACCTTGCGATCAGTGCAACATATAGTTATCTTCGCTTATGGGGGTTCTAGTGGTACCGCCGGCCTAGAGATCGATGACTCGCAAGCAGGCAGTATGTTGTCCGCTATATAGTCTGCTATAGAGTCCATACCAGAGTAGATTGCAACATGTAGTACTTCGCTTATGATCCTGGTGGGGTCATCGACCTAGAGGCCGTTCGGTGTCTTCCGCCGTCGGGGTGGAACAGGGTTCAACGACCTAGGGGTCGGCGTCCTCCGGCGACGGGGCCGAACAGGGGTCAACGGCCTAGAGGTCGGTGTCGTACCAGGCGGCGACGTTGTTGTTGTCGTGCGGCGGCTCGGGGAAGGCGGTGGCGGCGCCGGCGCCCTCCGCCTCGCCGATGTCCATGTCCATGCCGAAGCCGCTGCCGATCTCGAGGCCCTGCATCGAGTCTATCGGGATCTGGTCGTAGCCGGCGGCTGAACGAAAAACACGAGAGTTCAATGAGCGTATATTACTGATCTCTCCGTGACGCTAATTTGATGACTCCATGGGGCGGTTGCTAAGTTGCTTGTATTGGCTTCGGCGCCGGAGGTCGTCGGTTCGATTCCCAACTGAGGACAACTATTTGTGTGACCCGCAATAGTGATAATTGTTTGTCAACTTAAAAAAAAAATACTAATTCAATGAGGTTGTGGCCAGGGAAAGGGTGAATTAACATGTTTACCACCAAGGCACTACTATCAAATGGGACTGTATTTAACTTGTCATCAAAAGCTTTTACCTGTGGTTCATGTCAGATAAAATATCTGATTTTCGGTACTTTTGTACATGTTAATCGTGCATATAAGCTATATCCATTCAACATTTAAATGAAATATGTTCAAGCCAGAGAACACACAAATTTCGCACTTATTACAATGTGATTTAAATTTGATAGACTTCAAAAATGAGATAATGAGAAAAAATGAGATATTTCTTAATCTATGATTAAATTAGTTACAAAATTATTAGACATGATAAAAAGCCATAAATTATTAAGTGTAAAAACTTAAATAAGTAAACACTTACTTTATATTGTAGCAATAAAAGCCATTTATGATTGCACAGAAATCAGATCAACAAACAACAACCACTTTATTTTAGTATATATTGAACTATGACAAATTAAAATCTTTTTAAGGCAAACATAACGTTAAATTTGGAGAGGCAAATCAATATAAGGGCAGCTCTTAGACCTAAGAAAAGAAATGTTATATGAGAAAAAGACAAAGCCGTAGTTAACACCAGTTAAGGAATCCATAAATGTATAGATATTATGTTGTTAGTAAAGAAAAAGCTAGCAAGTAGCATTGTCAGAAAGAAAACAGAGTGAATAAATGCATATTATTATTACTCTAAAACTCAAAACACACAAAATAGTAATATTCCCATCACCTGTGTTTAGTGATATATAGGTCCCGGATTAAGCTGCGTGTAAAGAAGAGAGAAACATATTTATACAGAAACTTTAAAATATCTAATGACAGTTACATATAACATAGAAAATATTCTTGAAGGCATAATTATATATTTGACTTGAAAGATAAATTTAATAAGAAGTATTATAAATTGAGGTCAGTAACATATTTTCTAAGTGCCAATCAAATCAATTACGAAACCTAGCTCTCACAGTAGTTATTGGGATAAATTTCAAAACAATTTTGGCTAGGTTAAGTAATATCTGTCAAAAGTCTACAGATCCATACTAGGTGTTAGTCAACCAAACCACTTAATAAATCTGTCATACATCTTACCTTGTTGGTGAAATGATGGTCGAGTGCCATATAATCCTTCATAGCCCTGTTCTGGTCCGAGCATATCCTATCAAATCGATATTTTGGATCAAATATCAAATAAAATAGGGTTTGAATTCATTGAATAATAAAGGTTTAAAATAAAAAATAAAATAATCATGCGCGAATCATCGCAAACAATGGATAAAATATAAATGTAAAGTCAATATTGATTAAAACATTAATAAAAGAACTTCAAATTAAATCAAAAGCAGGTAATTAAATAAAGCTAAATTAAAATTATCACAATCTTTGAGAACACTTCATAGTTGGTCATAATATGCTCTAATCCTGTATGTATGACAATCTAAAACACACAAATGAGACAATGATATTGATCATTTGTATTCAGCTATATTTGAAATGAAAGCACAACAATATATCAAACACTATGGACACATGAATGAAGCTAGATTACCTGCAGGTCTGGCTGCATCCCGAGATCGTTGGACCACATCTGGTGATCGTCGCGGAACAGAGAGTTGGTCAACTCCATGGAGAGTCTCTTCTTATAATCGTGAGGCTTGTCTTCGGACATGCGGAATAAAACAGCGGCGGCGTATGTAGCGACTCCTGGGCGAAATTGATCAATAATTATGCTTCTAACAACACTAACTACAGCATTATATTGAAGTCTTTATGGCCAATAGTGTGAAGTGCAATATAAACACCTACTTAAGAAACATTATCTTCCTTCCTTTCTTTTTTTAGTTAAAAATAAAGGCGTGAATAATATTCATTTCTTGAAAAAATAGGGGTCTGTCACAGGTATATATATTTATTAGACTTATATATTTAATTATATATTTAATTAGACTTCTGTTAGCTATGCCTTATGCTGACATTGATACCAATCTAAGCAATTGTATGTACCTATGGGGATAGGTTATATGAGACCTGTCTTGTTGGAATGAAACCTACAACTCACAAGCCAATTGATGACCCCGTGGCACAGTTATTGGCTTCAGCATCTGGGGTTGTGGGATCGATCCCCACACAACTATTTGTCACGCAGCACAGTTTTACATCTGGGTGATTGTCCATGTGAAATTTATTTTTTTAATCGTCCTTACAACACAGGATAATGTTATCCTAAAGTGGCAATGTTATTTTTACCCTATAAAAAGCAACCAAAAAATCATACCAAAATTCGATATTCATAATTAATTATTAATTGTATTTTAAGTAAAATAAAATTAAGAAATGGGGGCCGAACTTTGTACTGAACATAAAATCACAATCCACTTTGATGGCTTTGTTGTGTCGTATAAATTGTTATTCTGTGGATATAAATGATAGAATGAAGTGGATTAAGATACATCCATCCATGTCAATCACTGGCAAAGGCAAAGGAAAAGGTTTGGCCTTCATAGAAATAATATGGCACAAACAAAAGCACCACTTTTTGCGCCATATTATTTAGATTGTTATTAATTGTAATTTTTATAATTTGTACAAAATAAAATTTGGTGCACGTTTATTAAAGAGTCACCTTCATTGCGTGAATGCAGCAGTTCGGTGAGAGGTGCCGTAGCCCCTTCAGCCTCTATCATCTCAGCCCCTTCTTTATCAGCCGCCAACTCACAGAGGACCCCGGCTGCTACGCGCTGTGGAAGAGATTTAAAAGGAAATTAGTAATCCATATTAGGTTGAAAAATCACATATTCTTAATCTCCAGCACCATAATCACTTTTCACTGTTCCTTTAAGTTCCCAAAACTATAAAATGGAAGTAGCTTGTAGAAGTTAGTTCTTATGATTTTAAATGAATCCCTCAAAACAGATTCCATGGTGTCCAAGCATATGTTATTAGTTGTGACTAATTAAATATCACATGATCAATGAAGGATATTTACAAAGAATGGTAAACCTTGTCAAGTTTAAACTCTTTAAAGAAAATGATAATGTTTACTACAATTTTATGCACAGTGGATGGCATCTCACCTGTATGTTTTCAATTTCATTGAACAGCAGCTGCACAAATATTGGTATGACATTCTGCTGACGTATAAGCTGCCTGTTAAGGCTCTCCCTGGCCAGTATATGCAGGGCCCCAACGGCCCCTTCCACGATTTCCTCCATGCGTACGCCATCGGCGTAAGCGCCTGCGGCCCCACCTCCGCCGGACACGGATGATCTTTGCTGAAACAAGAAAACGAATTGTACACTATAAAAAATGTAGCAATACGTTGATTACAAGAGATACATATTTATGTACATATGCAAGGCAAAAGCGTTTAACCTAAAGAAATGATACATTGAAGTAATCTGTTAAACAACTTAAAATACGAAATACTTGAGAGGTAATGCAAGACGTAAAGTCAAACAAGCTCCATAGAGTGGCATAAAAAAGGAAATATCTTCTGGGAAACTCCCACCTAAAAGAAAAAACTGTTGGAGTATATAAAGTTAAATAGGGAAAGGGTTTAAAATGATGCAACTAGATAGTTCCTCTATTAAAACGAATCAATGAGGGCATAGGAGGATTAACAACCCGTTTGGGATTAACTAAAACACTCGAAAACATTGCCTGGACGAAAGATTTTAAATGCCCCCGGGGTTCAATTTCAACCAGAATTATTAAAACCATTAAAAAAGTCAATTGAGGAAAATTGACCAGCAAACCAGGTCTTGCTTCTTCACGACAACGCGCTGATTCATAAAGGGCGCGTTGCAAAGACTGCTGTGAGGGTTATTTGAATAAATCAAGCATCCACAATACAGCGTACACACCCTCTGAGTATCGTTGAAGGCGCGCATCAGTAGTCTAACTAGGTGGTGAACGGCGCCGTGCTCGCGTAGCGGGGCGTGGTTGGCGGGGCAGAGTGCCAAGTTGCGCACCAATCCCACCACCGCCTTCACCAGAGGCCAGCGGGAAGGAGGCTGCAGGAGCTTCACAATCACCTGGAAATTAGGAAGAAGTGTTCAAAGTCATTTTAAGCTCTTATTGAACGTCAAAAAACTACCACCGGTTCAGCAAACTAGACCTGTCTAGAGAATTTCAAAGTTCAAAATTACAAAGATATTTAAGTATTAAATCAGCAGCAAGTGGAGAGCAAAACTCATTTTCACACATATAGTCCTCAAAGTATTCTTCGACATTAAAATAACCCCTTTTCATAGCTTTTTCAAAATGTTTATTGTGAGTGTTATTAATGTGTGTTTGGTTATGGGTATGTAAATTATCATAAAGCTGTGATCACAGAAAAAGTGAATGAAGATATATACATTTTTTTATTATTTTTTCAAGGTGAAGTTTTATTAGAAGACATACAATATCCTTGCTTTGTTTACCAAGCAACAGAGCCGTAAAACATGAGAGATACCAAGCAAAAGAGCCGTAAAACATGAGAGATGGTAAGTCCATAAGCAGACACTGGGACACAATTTACGTCATGTTTCTAAATTCCTAAACTAAAACAATTGCTGGTTACTCTAATAAACTGACCAGGGGGAAACATTTCTACTGTCTGAATGTTGTTATTGTTTCGGTCCTGTAATTCAAATGTGGCAGAATGACTAAAGGGTGATTAAGAAATTACTGGCGCCACAGTGGCAAAGTTTCGTATTACATCTAGCCAGCAGCCACCTGTCAATAAAGTGGGCCCCGGCTATAACCCCACTCTACTTCTACTTTACGCAGGCCTTTGTGAGTTCTTGGTACTTTCCCTGATAGATTGCCCATTTCTGGAAGATTGTTGTGTGCAAAAATAAATTGATGTTTATAAATTGGGTCTCACATAACCCTGTCAAGGTAGAGATGTCGAAAGTGAAGAAATATATCTATACATCGATAGTTATAAAAATATCAACATCAAAGCAGTATACAGATCAAAAAATATCTGTATATTGGATATAGGTCCTAGAAACCCCTTTGTCGAAAAAAAACACATCGGTAATTGAAAAAATATAGTTTTTGATACGACTTTCGATATTGAATATTTTGTATCGATATATCGGATCCAAATACATCAGCTCAATATATCGATATATAGAATCAAAATTATCGATATTTTTTTCAACATCCCTAGCCTACGGAAAGTTCGCAGGTATCCCTTACCGGCAGGCCGTAGTGCAGGCGCACCGCGTTCTGAGCCATCTCGCTCTCCACGTGGCGCGAAGTGAGGTGGCGGAGCGCGCACACCGCCGGCTCGGTGATCTCCTCGCGGTCGCCGGCCGACACCACGGTGCGCACCAGCGCGTCCACGCCGCCCGCTTGGCACACCGTCACCTGGGGTTCAAATCAACCTATCACATGATGACTCCGTGGCACAGATGCCAACCATCATCTGAGAGTGCATTCGACTTGGTGACTCAAGAGTCGTAGTTGCAAGGGTCGTATTGTCTTCGGCGCTGGGGGTCGTAGGTTTGATTACCACACGGGACAACTGTATTATGTGTGACCCACTGATAATTTCACAAGAAGTTTCACTTCTTCCGCGCAGTGAGAAATAACGTGGAGTCCACGTTATTTTTAGGTAGTATCAAACGGATTATAATGGAGTGAATTGTTATATACTTTCTTATAGTATCTTTGATGTTTACATTTTCATAGTTTACCTTATTACGCTGGTTGTTGCAAGTCAAATTGGACAGAATGCCAGCAGCACAAGTCACAATATTGACATCAGTAGATGCAAGTACTTGCACCAAGCTTTGGAGCAAACCTTCCAATCCTTCAACCTGGATAGAAAAGTTTTAAGATTGGATTTAAGAATGGATATAAAAGTGATAATGATTTATATGATACACAAAATTAAACAACCAGTACAAACAATTTAAATTAATAAGAATTTAAAATAATCCATTTTCATTTACCTTAGTGGCAGCATCAGAAAGGTTCCTCAAAGTCCAGAGACAGTTCTGTACAAGTCTGCCACTGGGGTTTCCGAGGTGCATAGCCAAAGCTTGCATTCCACCAGCCTCAACAATAGCTGGTTTATTGCTGGAGCAAACTGAGAGGACCTGCAGACATTATTCACTAATTATTGTTTAACTCAAGTTATTTATATTAACAAGAAAGATTGGTCAAGATGCTTATGCTAAAATAATTCTTAACACAATTTTTTTTTTAAGAAGTAATAAGTATACATTTGGAGAAAACAATATTTTAATTTTAAGAGCTTAGTATTTTCAGCAATTGTATTAGTTTTTAATAGAACTTACAAATTTTTTCTTGTTTAATTATGATTTTGATTCCTTACATTTCAAGCACTTTACAAGTTTATGATCACAGTAAATTCATAAGTTTCATTGAACAATACATAGAATTTGCAACCACTCAGGAAATCATTATGATGCAGTAATTAATAATAAGTTAATTACTTCTGATATATTTTTTTTAAAGTTGCCAAGCGGGCAGACGGTTTACCTGATGTTTATGTTATTTATTTGATACACCAACGAAATGGACACTGAACAAATTTAAGTGTACACTAATTATATGGTAAAACATGTTAAGTGCCACCTCAAATATAGGTGTATACGACATTTCAACTAAATGTGGTATTTGCAAGATAAAAAGGATTATTTAAACATTTTTTAGATTTGAATTTGTAATAATGTTAAGTAAATACCGCCGCCCATGGACATCTGCTACACCCGAGGGTCGCAGATGCATTGACAACCTTTTGAAAATTGGGCTCCGGCCCCTCACTTACCAGAGGAAACGGGAAAGTATTATACTTTCACTTTACGCCGGTCTTCTGTGAGGTCGTCGTACTTACCCGGACGAGCCTGCCCATTCGTGCAACAGCCCAGGCTGCAGCATGGCCCTAACACACAGAGATATACATTTTTATAAGTAATTTCAATTACACATAATTAATACTTGCCTTAAGGACTCTCGAGGTAGTCCAAAGCAGCTTTTCGTAATCATATGAACGCATTATACGCACTAACTCAATTGGACCTTGAGATGCAAGTATAATAAGTTTCGACTCTTGGTTTCCATAGGCCAAGATTTGCAGGCAATCTGTTACTATAGCCAAAAACTTGACATTGTTTCTTTGTAGTAGAGCTACCATCTTCTGCAAGCCGCCAGCTAAACGAACAGCCATCTTGGAGCCATCTTGATGAAGTAAGAGATTATGTAGGGTGGTGATAGCATAGAAGAGCACAGACTCCACTGGAGAGCTGAGGAGTTTAACTAAAGCTGGTATACCACCACTCTTGAATATGGCAAGCAAACCCTGACGGTGATGAGATAAGTTATGCAAGGTTCCCACAGCCCCCTTGGTGGTCTCAAGATCATTGCTATTAGAAATAGCGCGCACTAAGGCAGCAACCATCTGAGGTGAGTTCATGATGGCATGACGGGAAGCTTCTTTCTTGGAGAGTTGGTGGACCATCATTGCAGCCTGAGAAACAACCACTTGGTCTTCATCATTTAAGAGTTTAATCAACTCTGGAATGGCTCTGTAAACAAAATAAAATCTTTATCACTATTTAATCCTTACTTTATATTATAAAGGCGAAAGTTTGTATGTATGGATGTTTGTTACTCTTGCAAATACCTCGGAGTGGATTTTAACGAAACTTTACATAATATAGCTTATACATCAGAATAACACAGGCTATATAATTTATATACATATTTTTATGTATCTGTCTTTCTGTCTGAATGTTACGCCATCAGCTGATTCTATGCAGACGTAGTCGCGGGCAGCAGCTAGTCACATATAATTTTTCGCACAACAAATATAATATTAATCAAACAAAAACTGTATGAAATTTCTATTTTTATTTTTTTAATGGATGCAGTCATTGAATCCTTAAACACAAATTGAACATTATGTAAAAGAATCATTAGCTGATGTGTAAATGTACTTTCCCATTGAGTGCTAATTTTAATGTCGGTAGGGCATATACATCAAATTTTATGTTTCAAAAAGTACTTATTCTTAGATCAGTTTGACATAAATTACCTGGTAGCCAAATCAGCATCATCTTGATAGTTTATCAAGTTAACAACAGCATGCTTAAGCATTTGAGATGGTTCTGCAAGGCGCTGCACTGCTGTTGGCTGGGCAGGATCCAATTGAGTTGAAGGGATCTCAATTCCTTCCTCCAATGTCTCAGGAAACATGGCTGCACGCACACGCTGGGAGCGAGTTTGTGACAATTGTTGATTCATGTCTAAAAATCAATTAATGTAATCTTATTAAATTTAATATAAAGCTACAAAAACAAGATGTATATAAATTTAGATAAATGATTCCAAAAGTGATTGACAAATAAAACAATTCTCTACCATCAACTTGCTCTTGAGTAAAACCTTGAGCAAAGCCTTGGTCCAAGTCAAACATGAGCTGATCTCCTTCCATCTCATCATCTTCTTTGCCAGTTAGTGATGGCACCTGTTAATTAAAAATGTTAACATTATTTAAAAATTCTAAAAGAAGTTCTATACAGCATGTCTTTACAAGCGCGACAATAAATGAACACACATCTAACGCTACTTGCCAATAATCATAAAAAAATTAAAAAAAAAAAAATTATCTTTAAAAAAATTATATCATTAAAAAAATCCATAATTAAAAAAAATATTTTTCAAACAAACTAATTAAGTAAAAATAACAAAATTTGTAACATCCTATACAAATACAACTGACTGATTCATACATTCAGAGACTTTTTCATTTGTTGCCACAGCATCGCATTACAAGCCTCTCCTTCTAACAGTATGTTTTGTCTTTTTCAAATTCATTCAACCCATTTTTCAAATGAACTTTATGTCACAGTTGTCTATGTAAGGGTGTTTTAAAATTCGTTGTTTTGGAAAATTTAATAACTCAGTAAATATTGATGTTTAAAGAATGTAAATGTTTAATACAATTTTAAAAATTTATCCTCTATATTCATGTTCATTTATTGTCGCGGTTGTAAAGACACGCTGTATATTACGGAACTTACTAAGGCATTCATAAAATATAATTGTGTTTCATAGACATACCTGAGTAGCTGCTCCAGAATTGATACCAGAATCCACTAAGTAGGAATTTTGCTGCCACATAAGTGTCTGTTGCTCCTTGCTTGGAGCCATGGGCACATCAGACCCACCATAGCTGCTATGTGACACTGTAAATAAAGTTGGTTAAGATAGTGTTATAAAAATGAGGAGGCACTAAAACTGCACAAATATTTACAAGGAATGTATACAACTACTAATTATATTTCCTTATTTTTTTTTATCAATAATCTTATCACACAATATATAGAAATAGAAAAGAATCTCCTAAATCATAACACTAATACTAAAAATGTGAAAGTTTGTGTGAAAGCAAACAGTTTTAAGAGGAACTTAAAGATATTTCTAACTGTGGTGATCAGTGATTGTTCTTTCATTTACACAAAGGCTGAAGATATTTTTAATGAAATGTGAAAAATGTGTAAATGTGAAATTATTATATACAAATATTCACCTTATATACAGACCAAGCTTAAAATGCTGGTTCATACTCAAGGAAATCATATTAAACCAAATAAACTTATAAAAATAAATAAGATAAAATCATGTACTTAATTTTAAAATAAAATTTTAATGAAAGCATCAGGATAATAAGAACCATATATAGATGCAATAATTACAAAGTAATTTCAATACTCATTAAAACTGATGAGCTAATTAAAATAACATGTTTATTAACACAAAACAAAACAGACTTCAAATATGTATTTCACTCACTATACATTTTCTATTTAATTGATTGAAGTTCAAAGATACGCCATTGAGGTGTATCTTAGAGTCTAAGGTTCAATGTCAATGACTTTAAAATTAGAGCCCCCTTCCTAATATCTCCCTTTCAAGAAAAGAAGTATTTTCCCATTTGTTTATAATAATCGGACAACTGAGATAACAAACAAAAAAAACCATTTTCTGAGGATAATGTATTGTGAAAGTTGAAGTTTACTCTTTGAAAGATTAAAACATTGATGGCATCTATTAGTATTAATAATTTGATACACAGAATTATTACGAATCAGTACTTAGTATTTTAGTTTTTAAAGTATGTTGTAAATAATTGCTCACTTGGCGCATGAAATGCAGAAGTATAAAACTTCAGTTTCCCACAGGTATACTGTGAGGTAGTGGTATTTACCCGGTCTGATTACATCTTAATGATTAAACTTACAAATACTGTTGCGCAAATGGGCAAAATAATAATGGAATAAGAATAATAACAAAATTTTGTCATACATAAGAATAGTGAAATTCCTAACAAAAAAATTGTATTCACTTGTTATTTTTATATAATTTCTAACAGTTCTTTTTTTTTTTTTTAAAGTTTAAATAATTGTAATGAAGTCTGGATAATTTTGTTTCCGCTAAGCTGAAGTATTTACGGACTGAACCAAAGCCACATTGATGCATCCCATAAGACATATTTTTGACAAATTCATGTTATAAAAATCTTATTTTGGCGTTTTTGCATTCAAACTTATACTGCAAACATCTAAATTATGGTATACCTAATGATATAGGGACATTTCATACAACCAATCTCAATTATCACTATGTATTGAGATTTGAAATATAATATATTGCCTCAAGTATTAGTGATATTTTTTTAAACATATCACTAATACATGAGAAAACTAGTCTCAAATTAAAAGGCATATAGGAAATGGGTGAGAATAATATTGATTTGCTTGATGAGTCATAAAAGTAAACAATGTGTAATACACAAACCTATTTAAAGAAGTTTTATAATTAATGTTTCTTTGAAGTATGTTACAAAAAATTCCAATATATGTATTCTTCCGGTCATGGGTGTTTACACAATATTTATTTGTAAGACTAAAAAGATAAACCTGAATTTCCTTAGCAATTAAAGTGTGAAAAGTAAAAATTAAAGCTATTAAGACCCATAGTAATACAAAACTTACTTGTGCGGCTTTGCGATGATGGTATCTGATAGCTCATGATTCAGTGGATGCAGTAATGCACCCTGCGCCTGTGAACGAAATAAAACTATGAAACGCCGTTCCCCACGCAGCCGTAAGTATTGATTAATAAACAACTGAACAAACATAAGTCTAAAAGTAACATGTCGTTCACATAAACACTTTTATTCACGCCGTAGCGTATGCATTAAATGGAAATTTCTGATAGTTATAACAAAACAAACAAAGTATCCTTAGATCCGTGGTGATCTAAATACCACACCCCGACATAATTATTGAAATTCGATCGTTTAATTATCCTAACTATTGAAACCTGTTAATGCAAATCAATATATTTAATGTACCTTAAACTGTTAAAGCCGCGATTTATTAGGGAACACTTTTGATACGAATTTATTAAACTTAAACGCGATCTGCGTTTAGCACTTTCGTTCGTCTATCCTGACATGACAATATGGCGTCACGTTCGATTCGATTCGGATGGCCAGCCTGCAAACTTCGGTAAAAATCGTAACTATTCGAATAGAAACGATCTGAATGATATATCTCACTCGCTTTCACCTTTTTATAACGCATCTTGCCCAATGGTTCCGCAGTTCATTATGAATGAATTAATTATTTGCTGTTTATATATGGGAATATTCACATGAGTACTCATGTTACAATTTAATAAATGTATTTGTATTTTAAATTATGTAAATATATATATATATCCTTATTATATAAATTTCATATAACTAAGTAGATAGAAGATAACTTATCAGCAATTTACGTTTGTGTAATTTATTATCATTAAAATTAGAAAGAAAGAAAGAAAGAAAAAAGAAACGTTTATTCACGGTCTAAAACAAATTAATACATACAAAACTTAAAAATAATAATGTAACTACACAGAAACTTAAAATAAATGTAAACATAACAAAAAAACAAACAAAATAATAACATTATATAGTTATTCATATTGTTGAAATTAAAATAATCTCTTAATGTATAATATTTATATTAATTAACTTAAAGTTTTCTAAGGTAGCAATATAATATATTTTGAAGTAAATTAAAGATAAAATAATCTAACTTCAAGATAAATAACTACTTTAAAAACGGTTATTAATTTGTTTAATTTGCAAAACTATGCACCGTTTACGTTTATTTGCAGTCTTAATTATTATGATATAATGCAAATTAACACAAACGGTGTATACTTACCTTTATATCTGTGTTGCTAGTGAAAGAACTTAGCTCGGTATTCTCTTAACCACAAAGAAAATGATAAAATATACGGTTTAGTTTTGAAATATTGGTCAGGTAAGCTGAAAAGTATTTCAGGTAAGTTTCGTTTGTAGATTTAAGAATTAATGAATATAGCTCATAACTTTCAACATTCATTACTTTATTATAATAATAGGAAATTAAAGTGAATGCGATAAGAAAAAAATATTTTGCATTGTAGCTACCTACGTGATATTTAGACAACGAAAGTCCTAGGTGGCTAACACTAGTAGGGTCGCTATTGTGTGCTAGTGGTGCCGTGTTGATTGGTCATCTATATGGAACATTATACGAATTATATTATGTGTGAATCCGCTATAATCCATAGGCAGTGAGAGTGGGCTGACTAGTTATTTCTCCCCCTCTCCCTCATTAAAAACCGTTAGAAAGTTCAATAATTATTATAATTTATTCTCATAAAGTTAATGTTGATAATCGGTTCATTTAACCTATAAAAACCCCATTGCGTAAACTGGGTGCACTAGTCTTGCCCTTCGATCAGGTTTCCACTTTTTCGTGGCCGAGAGGCTTACTAGTTGTGGCTTGGTTTCCCATGGTGAAGCCAAGGGGAACCCACAATGTAGCCTGTGGTGCAAAAGTGGACCAAAAGGGCGGCTCCGAAAGGGCACCATAAGCCTTACTGCTTATTGTCATTGGCTACCATGACCACTGGTCAGAGAACTCAGGGGACTCCACTGTCCATGCAACCTAGCATTGGCAGGGTCGTGGAAGTGTTCCCTCCGACTGGGTTCCCGCCTTGACGTGGTGGAGGGGCTTAGTAGCCGTGAATTGATAACCCACGGCGAAGCTAAGAGGAACCCACACTCGGCCGGCTTGTGGTGTAAGGCCGGCCGTCATACGCCGTTCTCCCTACCGTCCGTGGCCCTGCTGATATGCGCCTAGGAACATCGTGGCGGTTTTAGTCTGTGCGAGTCCGAAATAACCCGTTCTTGCCCCCGCGAGGGCGGGTATGCCTAGGCATTTCCTCCACGTCGACAAAAAAACGGGTCGTGGAAGTGAGCGAAAACGCTTCCGTGGCCTTAACGATATGTGCTCTAGGTGGAACATCTTGGGGGCTTAGGTCGGTGAGATTCCGACAAAACCAAACATCGGCAGTGTATTTGCATTTCTATCTCTCTTAATAAATGTTTTTTTTTTGTGTTTTGACCGGTAGAACAGTTCTTAACTGTTGGGGTTAAGGTCCAAGTATTCGGCATCGACGCCGCATCAAGCTGGTACTTAAAGTCTATGTAGAATTGTAAATAAGCGTCTTTGAAAATTTTGATTTTAGTTGAAAGATTTAAATATTGTACGATAATTTAGTTTTCTATGTTTTTATAAATGTATATATATACATATATACCTAGGTGATGTTTCCGATTCAGTAAAACGATTTTATATTACGATATTTTCAATGTTACAGCTCCAAGAAGTTTAATTAACCACAGTTATTGAAATAACTTAAGTTTTCTCTTTGAAATAAAAGAAACATTGAGGTAAATACTTCAATTTTAATGTCATATATCATACTCAAGAATTTGATTTTAAGTTTTTTTATCATAATTTGAAGAAACAAAATGTATAACAGACATATAAGTATTATGTCTACGACACATAACTCTACAAGGATGAATAAAAGTGAGGTAGAAATGCAAATTCTCACAAAAAGTTACAAAAATCGAATTATGAAAGACTTGAAATACGAACAAAGGGGTTATATCAAACAGCCTGCAAAAGTATTATTTTCAGTACCAAAGTCACAAGCTCAGAAAAGGACATGGGTACAAGAAAATTATGATAAGTACATTGCAAATACACCGAACAAATATTTAGTGGAGCATAGTTATTTGAGTCAAATGGGTTATGTGGAATGCATGATTTACACCCCAGATGGCCAGTTTATCATAGTTGGGCACTCAAGTGGTATGATTCAGGTGCTCGTTCATATCAAAACTTATTACATTTATGTTTGTTTGCATTTATCGACAAAATGTAGAAAGTAATTTGATTTTAGTTTAAACGGCTTTAGGCAGCGAACTCTACTAATTACTATTTTACTTTACCTCTTCAAAAATACGCTTGAGGCACAAGCTCTTTGTGCATAAGGTCTGCTACGGCCTATAATAGTAAGCATACGCTTGTATGTCAATGTACACACATTCCTGAAGTACACCTCAAAATAAATTCATCCCCAAACCAAAAGATGGACTTTACTGTCAGAAAAAGGTCGACCTACATAGTTATTGAAGGCTCCCGACACTCTTGTCTTAAATATCTAACAAAATGGTTCTTCGAAAGAGCCTAGAACCATCCCAATCCTCACGTGCTAATTGTAGCAATGCAAAGCAGTCAACCGAACCCCTATGTAACCTTTCGGAAATATCAACCGCGTAATGTTCTAATCGTTCCAATGGAGTTGGTGGACAAAAGCATTAGGGACAGGCCCCGTGCCAAAAGGGGCCCCGCGTATTCAAATCCACTCATCTCTGCCTGAGCCTTAACTTTTTGAGTGAAACTTGTTAAACAAGTAAGAGTACTGAATTGTTTCTTTACCACTTTATACTTAAGAACCGATAGCAGATCAAGGGCTGTTTGAAAGAATTTGCTGCGGGCCCCGCACTTGCTTAATCCGGCACTGATTACTTACTGCGGTCTCGCCATCCAACTCAATACACATAGTGCTAAAAAAACAAAACCAACCAGTTCGTCGTCGCCTACGAGCACACACGAGAATAACAAATGCGTTGTCGACTTTGGAGGTGCTCTGGCGTGCATCTGGAGGAGAGGGGACTTGCCCTGAGACGAGACCGTTAAAGCAATCAGCGTTGGCAGGGTTATTGAAATGTGCGAAGGCGTTCCCGTGGCCTTACTAATACGCGCCCTAGGTGGAACATCGTGGGGGTTTTATTCGGTGTCAGTTTGACATAACTCGTAAATGAAAACCCCGACGTTACACGTTAACAAAACATGGGTACGTTGTGACTTAACTATCAGACGACAAAAACAGATAAGCTAATGGAGTCTCAAATGTTGAGGATTTGCCATAAAAGTTATCTTGAATTGGAAAGATTCGCGATCGTACTCTTATCCCTTTGTATTGATAAGTATATAGCTATGTTTACAAAAATATTAAGCGATTTGAACAGTTATTATCTACTCTGGCTGTATTTATTTTGGCCACCTTTTTCCTATGAAACTAACATGTTATAGACCCAACATTACATCGTCATAGTACTGAACTGTATTAACAGATGGCGCTGTATTAGAAGCTTTCCCTCACAGTTAATACGTATATTTTACAATATTACTATATTAATTAAATAAACTGTCGTATTATACACATGTATAAATATATCCAATTCTTTTTAATAAATAATTATTGAAACGTCTTACCAAAGTAATGATGAAATCTAGTAGGTCGGACTTAAACATGGACGGACAGAGTAATATTCTAAAAGAATATGCTGATAATCTTATATCGTATTATAAAAATGAGCAAAATCCTCAAATATGGTATCCAATGTTTTATCAAGATGTCAAGCAAAGAGATACTCATAGCTGGGTGAAAGAAAATAATGTAAAATTTTTGATTGATACTCCGAATAAAATATTATATAACAGATGGTTTTTATCTGAATACGGAGCTATATCAGCGTTGGCCTTTTCACCAAATGGAAATTATATCGTTGCTGGTCATTCGTCTGGTTTGATTCAGGTTCGGCTGTAGATGTAATAATAAACTCTACTCAGTAGGTAGCAAACACAATTTAGGTAAGGCTATGAATTCCATAGAAACTACCTAATATTTTCTACACTATCTTCAACAAGAAATAAATTTTATTCCTAGTTATATTTCTTGAGAAAACAGATGATACTGATACGTCATAAAATTAACCGTGCAACATTGATTTCTAATAACAAAAAGATGAGAAAAAAATAAATATAAATTTTACCATGCAATATCGGTCAATAATAAGTGAAATGTGATGTAGTTAATAATACCATCGTTAAAAAGTATGTGAGAAAAAATTAACCAACTTTGAAAATTTTAATTCATTATATCAGTTGCGTCATGGCAGTACCGGGACGGTGCTCAGCACTTTGCGAAACATCCAGTATCCTTCGAAACCAATTTACGCCCTCGAATACAGTACGGAAGAGGATAGAGTTTGCTACGCGGCGTGTATGGACGGCGCTGTGTACCGAATTGAAATACCAAATGTAAGACCAGTTGCAATTTAATTTTTAATCTCACATGACAACAAAATTAACACAATATTTTTTTTAACTTATTTATTTTAGTTAAATCGTACACACATTGAATAATATTACTAACTATTAATGACTCCTTTAGTAGTAGAACTCGTAAAATTTACTTGTGTGTATTAATATTATTATAATTTACTTTGTCACTGTCATAAATCTTGCAGCCATAACACAACAATAATTATTCATATTACAGCTTTCAAATTATCGAATAAGTTCAACTTTTTACATTTTTAACCGACTTCAAAAGGCGGAGGTTATATATTTTTTTATGTATGTTCGGGCATAACTCCGTCATATATAAACGGGTTTGCAAAATTCTTTTTTTTGTTCGAAAGGGTTTTATTCGTAAATGGTCCCATATAAATTTCATATAGATCTGATGATGACTTTCGGAGATGGACAACAGAACTTTTCAAATAATAACAGCAGATTAACCTCGATTACTGCTATCGCATAAATATCCATTATTTTGCGCAATCACACAATATAACATCGTATTTAATATCAATTAATATGCTGTTTTCGCGTTCATACCTATTGTGTGCATTGTAAGCGTCTACTTGTCTGACAGTGGGACAAATTCGAACTGAAACTCCATCTTTGTTCACCATGGAAACCACCTCGCTATAAAAATAGCAAGAAATAATAAGCAACAAATAATACTGCGGTTATCTAATAAATAGGTTAAAATATAGTTATATGTATCTAATCCACCTAACTTGTTTAACAAAATTAAGACAAAGTTTTAATGCTCAAATCAGAGTGATGACTCGGCTTGGCACCGACTCCAAAAATTGTTAAATTATGTTAGAGAACCTACCTAAGGTTAGGTTACATTTTCAAGATTTGATTATATTTAGTATTATTATAAACTTTTTAGTGCTAATAGACTTTTTTGTAGTCGGTTCTTTTTTTTGTTAAAAAGCTTTTTAAAACCGTCACTCTTCTCCATGACGTTTATGAATACAATGAAGAGGTATATATAACGTATGCGTCTGTTTACCTACTGTATCGGATTACATAGCGCGGTCTAAAAGATACACGCTTGGATCGTGTTCGTACGAGATATAAATAACTTAACCCTTTGTGGTTTGGGAAACAACAAATTGGCCGGCCGTACGGGTACCCAACCGTGTTCAGAATTAATTTTGGGACACCCGAGACCCGTAGGTTACACAAAGATATCGTGGGCCCGTCTTAAAGTTGTCTTTTAATTACCACCTTTATTAATAAGATATGAAACAAGGTACAAGTAACCTCTTTTAGGAATCAAAACATGTTATATACTTATTTTATCGTCATTATTCTATTGTCCTTATCCCACTTAGATGGTATTGCACGACGTTGGCTAAGCCTTTTAAGATTTTATAATGCCAAGTCTCCTTAGAAAGAAATACCCAGATCTGGAACAGTTATCCATGGGACAAACAAACACATTCTTTTGACTAAATCAAATTTGAGCTATTTTAAAAAGATACAAGGAATAAAGCTAAAAGTTAAATTCAGGACATTTTACTAAGCGATTACATGCATAATATTTTGAATAACATTTGCAATAGTTAAATTTTAAAGTGAAAAACGTATAAATAAGCCCGTGCGAAATCACAAAGGTAACTTTCATTTTCTTTAGCCCTATTTTAAAACATAACAAAAACAAAATGAATACCTTAATCTGTATTGTATCTGTACTGATCGTTGATGGTACTAATTTTAAAATAGGTATTGATAAAGATAAGCAGTAATTTAAGTAGTTACCGGTACATTGTTTCGACAGATAACTGTGTCCATAGACGATCCCCCGGAATATTGCATTAGAGCCGATCCGACACTCGAATCATTGAATACGCAGTTTTATGGAGCTCCTGGGATTTCTTCGTCATCGACACCGTTCATCACGCGTAAGTATTGCATTATGCTAGAATCATGAAGACCATTATTTAAGACCCTTCGAGAGGATCCAGATCGAGCATCAAATACTAGCCTGCGGCTTTGAATGTAATCTAAAATTACTTTGTTTGGTGTAATAAAAAGATAAATCTTTTATTTGGTTGGTTGTAAAGTTCCTTGTTATTGTCCTCAATTCTAATATAAATTATCTAAATCAACAGAACGGGTGCCTGCTCTATCATTGGGAATCACGGCTGACCACACGAAAATGGTTGTCGGATACGGCGACGCTTGTATAAAAATATTCGATATGGCGACACAAGAGGTAATAAATAAGTAATTAAAAAGATGTTTTCAGCACATATTTTTTACACAAAATAATCTACTATGGACACTAGGTAAGTTATTAAGATACTTAAACGAACTTTTCTTTTGTAAATAAATACAAATCCTTACTAATATTATAAAGGCGAAAGTTTGTATGTATGGATGGATGTTTGTTACACTTTCACGCAAATACTACTGAACGGATTCTAATGAAACTACAATAATATAGCTTATACATCAGAATAAGACATAGGATATAATTTATATACATATTTTTATGTATATATGTCTTTCTGTCTGAATGTTACGCCTTCAGCCTACGCAGACGTAGTCGCGGGTGGCAGCTTGTTATATAAACCCAGACATTAGATAAACACTATGTTAATCACCCAATCATCAAACATCCATTAGTAAGGATCGAACCCACACAGTTCGTCGCAACAGATGACAGGTTTTGTAATGATTGTGGGGCCACGCAGCAGCTTCCACTGTTGCACAAATGGGCAGGCTCGTGAAGAGAAGTAGCACAAGTGAAAGTATTATAGGTACTTTTGCGTTTCGTCTGGTGAGGGAAAGAAAAAGTATCTGTAACCTGTCAAGTGTTTTAGATATCCACGGGCGGCGGTAGTTACTTAACATCAGGCAAACCACATCTCCCGGTTTGCCAACTGTCCGAAGTTAGTAATTTTCGTGCAACTTGAGCTAATACCAGTGCCGAGGTCACAGGGAAGCGATAAAAAAGGACTAGTATAACAAATTAAAAAAATATATCAAATTTATTATTATGTATAACAGAACAGCTGAATGTAAGACCAAAAATTTTTACATAGAAATATAATTTAAAGTCTACCACGGGTTTCATAAACTCGTCGCTGTATCACGGGTTTAATCTTATTTTATAACGCAATATTATATCGTCTTTATAGATCTCTGAAGATCCTTTAACCTTTATTAAGTGGGTGGTCAAGGATTACGTGAAATATATATCCATTGAGAAGATATTACACGTCTTTATCTAATTATTGCATTAAGCAGAATTACCAATTTACAAGAATACATAATGTAACACTACTTGTATTAAACAGACTTCCTAAACTCGGGTTATAATATTTGATATATATATAGAGAGAAATTGTAACTTATTCTGTATATTAATTTGAGAGAGAACCTTTAAAACAACAGAAGAACATGATAATTTCTTATATCTAAACGAATACCGCTCATTAATAACTATTTTACGGATTTATCGCAAATCCGTAAAAAATTGTTTCATTTAGCAACACTTAAGGTCATGATGATTTCCATTTAAAATTTTGTTGAACACAGTTGGACACAACGTACAAAGTGCAGAAGTTGCGCTTGCAAGTTTATTCCGAAGAAACTGCAACGCCTTCATACTGGACAGGTCTGCGCGTTACGCTGCGACGAACAGAACCTTTTCACGTTCGCTAGTGGATCATGGGACAGAACCTTGCGGGTAGCGTTCATTTTTGAATTTGGAACAAATATTCTTTTTCATATGAAAAGTTTGCCAACAAGCCTGCAGTTATTCTGATATTAAGTTTTTACCATGAGATGAGTTGTAGGTATTCTGTTCCATTCTGGTAGGACTATGCAACATAATATTGCGCAGCCCTACCACAATTGTTTTTTTTTTTTTTGAAAAGTGAAAAGATATTGCATGACTTTTGCAAATAATTTACTTTGTATTCTTGTTGTTCGATCCTAGAGGTTAACTAGTTGAAAACTAGATGAAATGGTAAAATTGAGACAACCATTCGATTTTTCAAAATTTTTCTTTATAAAAATAATTGTTTGAACTTCGTAAGTTTTCTATCATAACAACAGCGGGCTTCGATGTTTGGTTGTCACCTTTCACGTAATTAATGTTTTAATGTGTTTTTTCCTTTAGATATGGGACATTAGGTGCAAGAGTGGCTGCGTTACAACGTTTGAAGGAGTCAATATTTGCTCTGACAGTATCGATTTGAACGTAAGGCGTTCTTGGTTTATGTAGAACAAATTTATTTTCAACTTGTTCAGGACTTCAAGAAAAAGTTGTTATTTCCTGCTCTTAATTTGACTTTACTTACTAATGTTCCATTACGAAGCTTCAGAATTTCGATGTTGTGTGTTAATTGTACTGAAATATGACATCAAAATAGTTCCATGAAAAACCCAAATCAGTCTGAAAAGCATTTGAAATGAAAGTTCATTACTTTGATTTCAAATGCTTTTTAAAAATCTTTTCAAGCATTTAAAATAACGGGAATGTTGAGTAAACTAAAATCTCCCAACTATGTCCGTGAAAAAGTTTTGTCGATTTAAACATCGTTATTTGTTTTAGCGGAATCAGTGTGTAGTTGGTAGTTGGCAACCGACGGAGGCTTTGACCGTGTGGGACATAGTCGCAAAGAAGAAAGTAAACACCATAAGGGTGCAGAATCGCAGGCCTGATGTTGACGGCGAGTATATTTACGCGTGTCGATACTGGAAGTCCACGGACGTGAGTAGATAATTTAGACATGAGACAATGGTGTTTAATAATATAGACGACGCATGTCCATACTGCGCGGCGGAAAAATTGTTCCGCTTTACATTATATGACTTAATTATACAAGAATGTGACAGATGATAGAACGATAGAATGATAGATGATAGATGATGACAGAACGTGTGATACGAAAGATATAGCAGTCTATAGAATTGCAATATAATTAAACCAATCGTTGTAATTTTAATGCCTCGGTTTCGTTGCGTTAGTGATTCATATCTACCTCATATTTATTATAGATATGAGGCTTTTAAAGTAACAATTTTTCATTAGGCTCTTGTTGTCACAAATAACGTGCCAAAGTTTCATCTGCTTTCTGTCTCTTTGGGAGTATAGAATGGTAGCTTAAGATTATATTAAATTATAATTAGCAGGAGATCTAGCGGTTCATCCGACCCGTTTCACGCAAAGGTAGAATTTTTTTTTATATTATGTTTTATTATTGCTCATTACAGAGCCGTGATAGCTCAGTGTCCAGGCGCTCGCCTTTAATTCAATATACTCGAGCAACCTGAGTTCGATCCCCGGTGCCGGCACCAATGAAGTTTTTAACTTTAAGTGCTGACTTATCACGTGCTCCGCGGTGAAGGAAAACATCGTGAAGAAACCTCCATATTTTCGAAATAATAACAAAAAAATATATATTTCGAAAATATGTGAAGTCCGCCAATCCGCAGTGGAGCCGCGTGGTGGACTATGCCCTGATACCCTCTGTATAGAGGAGGCCTTGCCCAGCAGTGGGACATGTATTGGCTGTTACTTTTTATTGCTCATTACAGAAAGTATGATTCTGGCAGGCAGGCGGTCGTCATCCCGTCATCAAGTTTTTGAGTCCATTTTTTTAATTAACATCAGTCGTCTAGTTTTTCACTTACACAGCGTATTAATAATTTTTTTGAAATTTTCTGGCTCCAATCAAACTGTGCGTTAGGGTTATACGGGGTAAGAATTTCATTGTTAATAAAGAGTAACCGCACCTATTTCGGCTGATATTGGTTAAAAAGTTTAATTTCAAAAATATTGTGTGATGAACATAGTGTTTTTCTAGTGTCTGGGTTTTTTTTTTTTTTTTTTTTTTTTTTTTAATGTCAGAAGCTGGCAAGTGAGCTGACGGTTCACCTAATGTTAAGTGATAATCGCTGCCTATGGACATTTAAGGTTGCAGATGCGTTACAACCTTTTAATAAAGCGGGCTCTGTTTACCTCACTCATTAGGCAAAACGCAGAAGTATAAAACTCTCATTTCATTTCGGTCTTCTGTGAGATCGTGGTACTTCCCCGGACGGACCTGCCCATTCGTCCATTGTCCATTGAATACATATTTAATGAATTAATAAAACAAACTAAAGTCTTTTAATCACGGAATGACTTAGAGTGCTCTGTTGATATATGACTGAACAAATAAAAATCTTTAAATTTCAGTTTAATCGAAAGGGCAAGTACGCACTGATAGGAGGCAGCGGTACCAATTGTTTGGAGGTGATAAACTTGCACAATCGATATATAAGCTGCTCGTATCACACGGCTGGTACCATTCTTGCTATCGCCAGTCACCAGGAGCGCATAGCCTATGGGGGCACAGCGCCGTTCCTCACCATCGTCAGCTTCCACGATCCGAAGCACGAAAGATACAAGAGCGACATCGAAGACGACCCTTCGTTGTGGACACCGGGCAATGACTTCCTATCCCATTCAACGACTACTTTAGATCAATACGAAAATTAGCGATATTTGTGGCGATTTTTAGAATTTCCAGTTTTAATTGCTAGTCGTGATCAACCATCGTGTTTTCTAATCGAATCAAATGTTGAATGTATTTATTCCATATCTGTCATAGTAACACATTATAAACCTATAAAAATGTAATGATTATACTTCTGGTATATTATGTAGTTGCGATTTTTTTGGGTAACTCCATATTTAATATATTTTCGTTGGTACACACGTTCAGTCGATTGTAATAAACATTTTTTTTAATCGATTGTTTTTAATTTTGTATTATAAATCAAATTCTAACTACAGTAAACTTCTATTAAATGATATTGTTTGAGTTTTTTTGAAAAGTTTGAAATTGTCTAGTCCGCCACCAGTGGCTATTTAATAAAAATGAATATAGTGCCACTAGTGGTGGAGTTAAGATATAAATTTATTCTGCCACAATAGGTAAAACGCATATAATGCTATTCTGTGGAATCTTTTAGTGGATTAGGTTAGGTTCAAATTGAATCACAGATCCGACACATGGCAACTCAAACCCATGTGGTCTTCGTCATTATGGTCCCTAACACTAAAGTGAATATAAAATGCGGAGCCAGAAGCTAGCGTCAGAAATCTTGAGCGGAGCAGCCTGCGAGGCCAAGTGGAGCGAAGGTCAAGTGGGTGAAGCGACACTCAGGGGCGACATAGCCAGAGTTCTGGCAAAAGCTGAGTAACATATGCGCCTGGTTAACGGAAAAGAGCCGCCTTTTTACATCTAACCACGTATTTAGATATTTAAGTCCTATTACTGATGCAGGGATAGAATTAGTTTCATATATCCTGCAGTCCTGGGAAAGCTTTCATGACACCATTGGTGTGTTCTGTGACCTTTCCAAGGCATTTGACTGTGTAGATCATACAATTCTAATCAGGAAATTGGAATATTATGGTATTCGCAATTGTGCCATTGACTTTGTTTCCTCATATCTTACTGACAGGGAACAAAAAGTAATCATAAATGGTATATTGTCAACGGGGTCAAAAGTAAAAATGGGCGTTCCTCAAGGATCGATCCTGGGCCCTTTTCTGTTTTTAGTTTATATTAATGATTTGCCATATATAGTGGAAAAAAAGGTGTCAAATTGTTTTGTTTGCGGATGACACTTCATTATTGTTTAAAGTTAAAAGGAAAGATGATGCACTGGAACAACCAAATGAAATACTACATGTTGTGTCTGGCTGGTTTGCTACCAATAACTTACTTTTGAACTCCAATAAAACAAAATGTATTAGATTTACTCTTTCAAAGTTGTGTCACCAATCAGGAATCTCTATTGATGAGAAAATCCTACCCCTTGAGGATTCAACAGCATTTCTTGGAATAAGCGTTGACTCCAAGTTGCAATGGGGATTACATGTAGATAAGTTAGCTAAGAAATTGAGCGCTGCCGTCTTTGCCATACGCAAAATCAGGCAGCTAACTAACCAGGAAACTATGTATAAATAATGTCCTATAGTGTCTTACTTTGGGGTTCCGCATCCGGTCTAGACACAATATTTGTATTACAAAAGCAGGCTATACGGGCTGTCTATGGCTTGGGTCCACGTGAGTCGCTACGACATACATTTAAGCAAATAAACGTTTTGACGGTCCCGTCGCTTTACATACTTGAGAACATCATGTATGTACGTAATAATATCCACCTATTTAGGAAAAAACAATCCACATCGCGTCGGGGCCGTGGTGACACTCTGGAAGTACCGAGGTTTAGATTGGCTAAAACCAGAAAGTCGTTTCTTGGAAGATGCATCAACTTTTATAATAAAATAGGTGACATCCACAAACAACTAAGTATAAACAATTTCAAACAATTTGTAAAAGCTACCTTAATGGCAAGGGCCTACTATAATATCCAAGAATACATAGAGGACAAGGATGTTTGGAAATGACTCTTGCTCTGCACTTGCAAGACCCCTGGCTGCTGCCGATTTTATACCCAAATAAGTGTGTATAATTGCATTAAAAAAATATATATATAACAAAAAGAACAAGACCGCAGAGTTTCTTGCCGGTTCTTCTCTGTGCAGGTCTAGTTTAGTGAACCGGTGGTAGATTTTTGTTGACGTTCAATAAGAGCTTAAGTTAGGCCTATATTGAATAAATATACTTTGACTTTGACTTTGACTGTTTTTCCCCTTTCTGTCGACCCAACTTTTTAAACAACTGCAAATTATGTCTGATTTATAAATCATGTAACTTGCGGCTTGAAACAGTGTAATTTGTGGAATAAACGCGCAATGAGCGATGATAGGTTAGTGTCCGGGCGCTCGCTTTTAATTCAATTTACTTGAGCAACCTGAGTTCATATCCCGGGGCCAGTACTAATAAAATTGTTAATTTTAAGTGCTGAATTATACTGTTCAGTGGTGATGTGATTTTGAAATAATAACGAAAAAAATTCAAAAATATGCGAGTTCTACATAGACTCCAAAGACAAAGCACGATTCGGGTCCTCCTGCATCCATTCCGCACATTTGACGATGATTACAATGCTCAAATACTTAGTAAGTCTAACATTAACAAAAGTTGGAAAGCGTTTGTATGTACAATAACAACTATTCTTACATATTGAAACAAGTTAATTGAAAAACACCATGCAATTTACGTAAGCCTTTCAGTCATGTAATAAATAAGTACATGAATCTTTTCTCCGTAATCCAAAACTTTCTAGCATAATTGTGTGGAATTTTAAAAGCAGCGAAGTATTAATTAAGTATGTCTTTAATTAAAAATTACAACTTCGTCTGGACTTTTAGTTTAGCACTTGTCCGCAGTGTCACTGTTCTCGTCGCTCGAAGAACTTTTACGATCTTCGTATTCGGATTTATTTTACAATTCTCATATAATACGGTCCGGTTCCCTCTCAAAGTGTTCGAGCTGCGACGTGTTCTGTTTTGATTTTTCTCTTTACGCAAGAATCTCTTTCTATAAGAAACGAGCAAACTGGAAAAGATTTCACATTCTTGTGGATTCTATTTTTGCTATCTACTACCAATGCGCTACAGGCGTCTTGTAGTTTGTAGGATATTGAACATAATATATTCACTCTTCTCGTTATAATGACGGCTTGAAGATGCACTGCTTACTTAGCTACATGAGAAATTTGATTATGCTGTAGATAGATTCGTTCAATAACATGTGAAAAAATATATAATATTACAAAATGAGTTATTGAGAAGTACATTCAGTTTTGTTAAGTTTTGGAGAAAATTTTAAAAGAAACGCTCTATATTCCTCATATTGTATATGGCATGCCATATACAAGATAAAACATATATTATACATAACCAGTGAAATAGTTACCGTTGGTAGGAACTAGGAATTAGAAACAATTTAAGGAATTATGATCTTTTGATTAGATAAAGACCGCAGATGTCTTGTCATGGTTGGGTGCTTTGACTCGCACTGAGGTAATCTCACGACTGGTTTCTGAAACAATGATAATCGTAGAAAGTAACTAATCAATCAATTCAAAGATCAGTATGATCAATTCAAAGAGTAACCATCCTTTTAGCAGCTCAAATAAATTCGACAAGCCATTTGAAAGCTGATATACAATTATGATGATATACAATTGAAGCTCAAAACATGAGCGGTTGTCATTTGTATTCTTTTACTTTGGGCTTTAGTTGACCATAATAAGGTCTTGGGCCATGTTCATAAGATCCTCTAACTAAAATAAGACCATGAACTGGCAAACTACATTTAAATGCTTCTTTTGTTTTATACTAAGATACTATTAACAACCACCAACTAAGTAGTATATGGTAAATAACGATACTCTATGATCCGTTTAATCAAATTTTTTACGTATTTCAAAAAATTAAATATATTTAATGTTTTAATAGCGGCATTTGGTAGCAGATTACCTTTGAAATTCTTTATTAGCGTTCCTTTAAATGTTACCGACGTCACAAAGACTGAAAATGGAATTTTGAAAAATTGCTCACGATCTACTCATATTAAGGCGCTGCTTTAAAGAATGCTTGAAAATTTGGAATTTTATAAAGCGTAAGGTAAATTCCAGTTACTCATTAAATGTTCTACTGCTGTCAAGTGAACGTTTCGCTGTACAGAAGGTATGACGTGACCTTTAAGCGCACCGATAAACTAAGTGAACAAATTCGTCAATCGCTTTTGTACTTTGATTTCTGAAGGAAGTTCGTCAATGGAAGCCCATGCCACCAATCCTATTGATTACAATTTCATTGCTGGCTCGTGGCAAAATTCCCATCCATTTTGTGGATGGAAATGGATGGTACGGAGCTCAAGTGGCTTTTGCGATGTCCTTCGTAATTACTTCCCGTATTCGTGTATGCGTGTATGCGTACGGATTTGTGGGTGAATTTTGTTCTTCAACGCAAATATATAATATGCGTTTGTGACGTTTTTTTTACTTAAGGCAATGATTTTCGATGGCTATAAAATACAAACTTAGCTCTTGTAGTGTGTGGTCAATGACGGATTTATTGATTTGTTACACGCAGTTTTGTATAGTCAATGGGATGATTTAGGAATATTGTCGTTATTATTAAAACACTAAAATATTTAGTTATTTATCTCCCGTGTTTCCTTCTATTGCTGACCACGCGCTCAACAAATTTATAAAAATATTATTCATAAACATTTTTCAGCTAAAGTTCCTTACCTGGAAACTTTTGCTTTTTAAATTATATTCGAAATTTTTTTAAATTAATTTGGAATTTCAAATATCATCATAAGCAGTCCTGTTACTTAAATTAATAAAGTTTATTAACTATTTTTTAATTAATAAAATTAATTTAAAAATAGTTAGAATATTTTAATAGAAATTTAATGGTCACATATGAATTTAAATACTCTAGAAACAGAAAAGTCGTCTTAAGAATTTATCGCATATATTTAAAGTATTTAATTCGCTTAAGTTGTTAAGATTCTTGTTAACTACTTCAACTAATTTCTATTCGTGTACTAAAAGATGTTTCAAGATAGCGAACTGTTTTGAAACTAAGCAGATCTTAAGCAGACCGCGAATATTAATATAAACTCACCACAATATTCCTCCTTGTGACATGACTTTTCGGACGTATTTAAAAAAAAACGTGCAGTATATTTTAATGATTCATTTTTCCTGCTTCACATTGTTTATATATTTCTGCAGTACATTGCTTTTTTGTCATAAAAAATTAAATAACTTTGGGCAATTGAGAAAGCAAGAAAAGGGTAGCAGTTTTCCCTGTTGCACGAATGGGCAAGTCCGTCCGAGTACCAAGACCTCACAAAAGACCGGCGTGAAGTCGAAGTATTACTTCTGTGTTTCATCTGGTGAGTGAGGTAACCGGGGCCTGCCTTTTTGATACGCCTCTGCCACCGATCGGGGGAGTGATTATGTAGGAATCTACTAGGTTGTAACTTGTTTAGAAAGTGCCTACTATCGAAACTTTTTATTAATAAAAATTTTATTTTCTATACAAAGAATGAAAATTATTATTTGCTGAAATTGAGTGAGCTAAACAATTCATCCACTAAGGTCGTTAAAAACAACTAAATGAATTAAACATGGCGGACAGCGAATGCTGAAAGCGATTGTCGAGATTAAAATATCTCTCTCAGCGGTTAACTGCTCATATTATTTATTAAACGTTCCTTTTGCGCGCTTTCCATAGAAACCGGATACCTATTCTTTGTGTCGAGAATTTCATAAAATATCTCCTCTCTTCACTATATAAGTGGAAGTGATAAAAGCTTTATAAGTGAGTTGCATTTAATTTTCTTGTTAGTTTCAATCGTTTGCACTCTATAATAAATACAAAGGAAAGAAATCTAATTTATTCGTAATTTATAAAGAAATACCTTTAATTTTTAACACAGAGAACTAGCTTATCTCACAGTTTGTTTTTGTTTACCTGTATTTTTCTATTATTCTTCTTATTAAAAAACCTATGTACATAATAAATAAAAACACCAGTTAAAAGGGTAGCAGGAATAACTAAAGTCACGATAATTTTTTTTTGGAATGTGAATCTCCAATTGTTAGCAAAATGTTTACTAAACAAATATGTGCATATGATTTAATTTTCTTAATACCTCAAGTATGGGTATAAGATATATAAATACGAGTTACGACATTATAAAAGTTATAACTTTTTTTTTACGAAAATTGCGCGAACGGATGAATTAAGAACGGAGTATGAAATTTCCCACAATTATAGTTAATATATTTGCCTCCCTCAATTTGGGGGAGGCTTACGTTCAGCAGTGGACGGCAATAGGCTGATATTGAATAGTTTATAAATATAGAAGGAGTGCAGAATTCTAATATTTTTTTAAATCATGCATAAAATACATTAAATCAATTAAAAAAAAACATTACACATACTACCATGTATAATTAATTATGGTTAACTACCACTACGATTATTAATTATTATTGTTGAAGTGGATTTTTTCGCATATAAATAGCATAAATAGAATCGAGCAGCATTTCTGTTAGCTATGAGAATACAATTACACGAAATTACAAGACAATGTTATTCCGAAACAGCACCGCGGTCGTTGGAAACCGCCGAAAGTTTCACGGAGCTGTTTCACATTTAATTCCCTCGCCATAACACTAAGTAAGTTTCAATGTTCGTTGCGGTCGTGTAAGCAAATTCTGTTATTAAAACAAGCTTCATTGTGTTATCATAACGGCTTTTCCGAACAAATGCTAAGCTTAATTATAACGTTCAACTGTTCAACGTCGACGGTAATACGGATAAGGAGATCGACAAGACTTATTATTGAGCTATGAATGGATAAAATTGGAAATAAAGAATTGTTTAGTGATAGATAGTAGTTGAAAGTTCGATAAGGCTTGTGAACCAGTATAGGGGACACTGTTTGATGCGATTATTTAAGTACTTTTATCCGTGATGAACAATAGTTGAACGATCTCTAGAGGGCAGCTTTATTTTAGAAAAGGGTTTAAATGCTTTACACAGAACATTTGCAGCACATAAAAAGTGTAACTCTATTTTATTTTGAATATTTATGTACGCTTTTACCACTAGAAAAACATGAATTAAAAATATTTATCCAATCTAAATGTTTGTTTGCATTATAAAATTAGCTTTCTTTATGAGAAGCACGGTGGTAGGGCCACGCAGCATCCTCGGCTGTTACACGAATGGGCAGGCTCGTCCGGGTACGTACCAGAACCTCACAGAAGACCAGCGTAAAGTGGAAGTATAATACTTTCGCGTTTCGTCTGTGTTTCGTAAGTGAGGTGGCCGGGGCCCAATTTCCAAAAGGTTGTCAACACATCTGCAACCCTCGGGTGTAGCAGATGTCCATGGACGGCGGTATTCACTTAACATCAGGTAAACCGTCTGCTCGTTTGCCAACTTTTCACATAAAAAAAGCACCGTTACACGATCTAGAAGGAGTTCTATTGAGAGGACCCCACGTGTATTATGGATATGTATGGATAGCCGTAATCAAGTTACCTGCTTGTTTAGTTGTGACTTTCTCACATGAAAGAAAGTCGTATTATGGACTACTTTATTATGCGTGTATTTACAAAGATGGTATTTCCTTCAGTTTATTATAATAGTTGAAATATTATGTGGTTTAGGCATTAAGAATGCACAAATGACAATTTTATTGTTTACAGCACGCGATACCTTTGTGCGTGCGCGTTTGTGTCAACTTTTTTCTGTTAAAAGTTATGTCTTGAAAAAATTGCGAATATTCTTGTAAGGAGCACTAACAACCGCGGTGTTAAAAATACGTTTTAACACGCACTAAGCTGCTATCAGGGACACTACTCGCTGTATTCAATTGCTATTTTACAAATTTCTTACGAAATCACCGATAATACAGTTTTTACCAGACCTTTCCTTTATTCGTAACGATTCTTTAAAATCATTTTATAATTCCGTTCAAAACAAAACCGACATACTGTAACAAATTAAATTGCAAGTGGTTGCGAATGGAATTCCCTCTGAGAACATCTCTCTTTTGAGTCATATACAGTTAAAAACAAATAGACAATGGCGAACAAGTTGCAACAGAATTTAAATAAAGAGAGCGTTTCCTAACAGCGCGAACTCGTGAGCGGGGCGGTGGTGAACTTTCAACTTTTACCCGCTTATGTAGCACGGGAGCTACGTTTCTTCCACCGGACTCACCCCCAATGGGGAGGCAGGCGTTTTCCGTACTTGGAGCAAGTATTTACAGCGCAACCTAAATATAGCGTGCCTCCGCTCAGCTGGCACGGCGGGGTGGGACTGGTGGGTAAACATATCTCCCTACCTCCCTCCCCGCACCCCTCGACCGCCTGAAGCGTTGGGAAGGCCATTCGAGCGCTGGCCGCAAAGGTGGGCAGACGTTCCTGTTCTTCCCCGCCTGCATTCGGTGCGCTCAATGCGAGGTCGTAAGGCGACCATGACCGTACCAAGCTCAGGGGTGGACGATCGCGGTAGCAATAAAGACTTTCAAGGTTACGACGTTATTTAGACATGCGATACGAGTTTATTAGAAGTTTTGTTATCAAGAGCGGCATCGGAAATGCGAGTTTTGTTTATTGAACGGTGATTGAAAATTTATTAGTAGAACCATATGTTTAAATAAATTTATCAAAAAAAATCTCTACGCAATTCTGTAACTGCTCAATATTGGAGAAATGAATAGTATGATTATCATTTTAAGTTAATACTGGTTTGATTTTTTTTTTTAAGTGAAAATTTGTTGGCCCGCCCATGGACATCTACTACACCCGAGGTTTACAGATGCGTTGACAACCTTTTGAAAATTGGCCTCCGGCTACCTCACTCACCAGACGAAACGCGAAAGTATTTGTCATACTTCCACTTTACGCTGGTCTTCTGTAAGGTCGTGGTACTTACCCAGACGGGCCTGCCCATTCGTGTAACAGCCGAGGCTGGTGCGTGGCCCTACCACCGTAAAAATAGATTTAACTTAGTTTTACATTTTACTGAATCATATTATAATTTATTATAGCTAACTAACTTATTGTTAAACAGTTTGGTAGGATCGACCAATAATATAACAATTGCCTAATGCTAACTAAGCCTTAGGCAATGATGTTAAATAGTATAGATTACGCGTGTCCATACTGCGCGGCGTTTAAAAATTGTTTCGCTATATATTATATGACATATATAGATGAATGTGACAAATAATATAGAACGTATAGATACGGAAAGAAATAGCAGTAGACATTGAGAATTGCAATATAATTACGCCAATTGGTGTCATTTAAGTACCTCAGTTTTGGTGCGCTAGTGTCATATATACCTCGTTTTTGTATATAGTATTGGCTGTAAGTAAAAGTAATTTGATGTGATTCGAATAGATTATTTAAGAAAATATATTATTTTCTGTATATTATGTTACTTATAGTATTGTAAAAATATAATTATTGATAAAATTTAAAATGATTGAGCCAAAGCTGAGGTCATAACACATTTTTGTAAAAAATTTGAATTTTTAAAACGTATTTTGCCAATCATCCATAACAAAATATTTTATACAAGATGGCGGTGTTATGAAACATCAATATAAAGCTCTTCGTTTTAAGAAAGCTCTTCGTTTTTATTTTTTGTCAATTTATGAGTCGGACTTGCGGATTAAACAGGAATTTCTCCTTCTCCTCAAAAAAAAAAACAATAACCAAGTGCCCATTACATTCAATTTTCAGAGACGGAAACAAATTAAATAATTCAAGTGAGGCTTATTTTCAATCGTTCCTTATATAGAAATAAAAAAAATAAAATTAAAACAATTCAGGCTTTTGGAATACTTTAATAATTGTGGTTGAATTTTATGTCAGATACTAATTTTGAATGATTTTTTATAATGGTAACATATTTTGTAGTTAGTTTTTAATTGTAAGTGACGAATGAATAATGATAAATCTAGTGCAATTTGGAATTCTATATATAAACCTATGGATGAAAAACTTCTTTAAACAAAAGGATTAAGTTGACTACTGTTATTTACTGTTACCTCAGTTTGTATTATATTCGATTCTATTAACTGGTTTATTTTATTTAATTCTCTGCAATATTTGCATTCCTGATCTGGGCTATCGATATTATAAAATAGCTCTATTTTTCACTCCTAATAATTGAGAATAGTGTAACTATTTTGTTTTACATTGTAGCTTAATTTTAAGTTTTCACACGTAAGTAAAAACCTGGCATTAAATTTCTATAAAACGTTATTTTAAAATACATCAGTTAAATAGTCTGTTTACAAAACTAGAGCATTTAAAAAGGCGTAGAGTTTAAATAATCATCTAATTAACAACCCAAAGCAATCCTATTCACTAAAAAATGCGTTTAACTCTAAAAAAGTTTAACTCTAAAGTTAATTCCCAATGAAAATCACTTTCATCTGACGATGAATTGTCAAGCTACTAATAATGGAACAAACTCATTTTAATAGTGAAGACGGTTGATGATATCCGCTTGAGATCCTATATTTAATAAAATAAAATAAAAGCATGCCAACTTTACAAATGAAGAAACCAAGTGGTTACTTCTTTCACTAAACCAGAAAAGTTGCCAGTGTCCTGGAATAAATAGTAATACCATCATTAAGAAAGCATTACTACATAGTAATGGGATAACTACATAGTTATCCCATCACTATGACGTCCGTAAAACTTTTATTTTATTTCATTGTTTATTTATAGAAATCCACACGATTAGGTGCGCAGACATTCTTCTAATTTTGCTGCGTGAGGAAATAAATACAACGAGGAGCTAAATATACCTCCGAATCGGGCGTAGCATTTGTGCTCCGTAGCGCCGTAACACCGTAGGGAGGTGGGGTGGTATAGCAGGGCGTAGCACCGGCGTCGTAGCTGCATCGATCCGCGGGCCGTGACCTTGACCTGGCCGCGTTCCCGGATGTGCTGGTGCTCGCCTAGTTGCGCTATTGTCGCTTTATTCAGCTTCTGGCTTTTATTAGCCTGCTTTTATTTGATGCTCTGTTAGCAAGTTTTTATATGAAGTTATCATATTATAATAGAAAATTTTATTTATTGATTGTACATCTAAACTTTCAACCGCGATCATGATGCATTTTTTTATTCAACTCTATCAGACATTCTTCTCCCACGTTTTTTGTGTATTATAATTTTAATTGTGTTGGATTTTTCTAGTGTTTAATTAGTTTTTAACAAGTTATCTACAAGCTATCCTCTTTTAGATTTTTATAATTGATAAAAAAACCAAGGACTGGTTGTTAGTTTGAGGATATTTAATATTACTCCCTATCGATTCAATTAATATCGTCACTAATAAAAATAACAGAAATATATCCCAAACCACTAGTTCTTATAGTGTAAATAGCCCTCTTAGTTCAAATCTATTAGTTCTCTAAAGTATTACACGGTACCTGAGGCCGACAGGGCTCTTCTCTCCATGAAAATCACTAAGAAAAGATATATGGTATCGTATAACAAATTTGCTTGAGAGTATATAACTAACTATTTTAGATTTAGTGTTCTTTTGTTATTTTGTAACGTTAACGAAAACTAGAAATTTAAGATTTATTGCTGTAAATTAAAGCTGCAATCACTAAAGTGCACTTTCGATGTTACTTCGGATGATTGTTTGTGATATATATGTATACCAAAGCCAATATAACTATTATTTACATACAAATGTTCTGAGTTTACATCCGACATCGTATCCTATATCCGATATTATTGACAGGCACAAGACTAAAATAAATATTTTAGATACAAAATCATTGAATATTTCATATTCATCGCTAACAGTTTTAAAAATTAATTAATTTTGATAATGAACATATTTGAATACTGAAATATCTACTAAACAGTGTACAAAGTTTTCAAGATTTTTGTAAAATAATAAAAAATAAATAATATTTTATAATTTTCCTTTAAACAAAACATAAAACACAGTGTTTAAAAGAAAACAGTGCAGTCTTTATGTTAAGTTTACTTTTGAATTTGTTATGCATAATGTTGCAACAAATAATATAATATAGGAAATGAGTACCATTTCCTTGTTTCAGGGAGAATAGCAGAAACGGTTTTAAGTAGCGCATGACCGTTGTAATGTAGAGCAGTTGCAAGTTATTTATTTTGAAACTGTGTATTTGCATTCGCGTTAGCACTGATTGCGGCTTTAAAAGTTACATAGGGTGCTTATGTTTGAGTTAGTCCGATATAAGTAGAGAGTTAATGTTTGAAACTATTATATGCATTGAGCATTTAATATGTTTCGAATCGCGTACATGTAGGTTTCAGGTGCTTATTACTTTTCTTTATTTATAATGATATGAATGTATACATGATGACTCCGTGGTGCAGTGGTCAAGACATTGGCTTCCGCTTCGGGGGTCTTTGATTCGATTCCCACACGGAACAACTATTTGTGTGACCTACGGATAATTGTTTCAGATCTTGGTGTTCATCCACGTGAAATTTATGTTTGTAAAACGTCCTTACAACACAGGATAATGTTATACTTCAGTTAGGGCAATGTTGCCCGTACTGTATTCGCATTATTCCTTTAATGTTACAAGAAAAATACGTATATATTATTATTAGTTTAATATTTTTATTTTGTTTTGATTGTACATTAATATTTTACAAATTTAGGTGATGTAACAAATTGCGATATATATTTTTTTTCATTTAGGCCTGATAAGTACACCATAAGGGAGGGAAGTTCTTTATAATAACTATTTATTATGAAGACGAAAATAATAATTGATATGTATTTCTATGAGTGTATCTTAGCTTAGCAAATAGCAAACAAAACGAATCAATATTGCTTTAGGTGCTAAATTCAAAGCCTTTGGCCTCCATCCGACACACATTTGGTCCGAAGCCAAACGTTACTGCATCCAACAATGCAGTAGATCTGGACACGTCCCTATTGTACATTAGTTATATGTATTTACATACATATATGTATGAACTAACTCATATATATCTACACGGATGTTTTAATCACATCAATAAACAAATATAATTTATCTAATAATGTGGTAGTTTTTTTTGACGTTCAATAAATAAGTCAAGCCTATATTGAACAAAGAAATTTGTGACTTTGAACCAATTCTGACTATAAGTTATCCGATTTGGTTTATGAAAAGTTTGTATAAGTAATTATCATTAAGCGAATACTATACATGTCCCACTGCTGGGCAAAGGCCTCCTCTGTACAGAGGGTATCAGGGGAGCCCACCACGCGGCTCCCCTGCGGATTGGTGGACCTCACATATTTGCGAAATTGCTTTGTTTTGTTATTATTGAAAATATGCAGGATTCCTCGGGATGTTTTCCTTCACCGCTGAGCGCGTGATAAGTCAGCACTTAAAATAAACAATTTCATTGGTGCCGGCACCGGGGATCGTACTCAGGTTGCTCGTGTATATTGGATTAAATGCGAGCGTCCGGACACTGCGCTATCACGGCTCTATTAATCTTCATGCTATATGCTCTGTTATCATTATGAATGCTATCATTATTAATAATAAACCTGTGGCTTATGTAATAATGGAACAAAAGTTATTTTGTAATCGAGTAGACTATTACACTTTTACTTTTTTACATGATGATATCTTCCACATAGTAGCTAGTCCAACTAAGCGATCACGTTCTAAATTTTTAAGAGTTAGTAATTCAACAACTCTTTATATTGCAGTTTTATAGAAATAAATGTCCCAAGTAACGCCTTCTAAAAATATTTATTAACTGTAAGGTTTACACTTGGTAAATCTGTTTAGAACGAGCTACTTGAATAATTCTAAGCCACCCAAAGGATCAAATTAACAATTTAATTGCATAATTTGATTTACGTATCATTACAAATTATGGTTTATGCTTTTCGCGCTTTCTAGTTGATCATTATATTATCGGATTTTTGACATAAATAACGTTTGTTAACTGCATATTCTGAATTGTTCCCGTTTTCTATCAAATTATTCAAATGTATGCAATTTGGTTACTGGCTAGCACGTTTGTGAAGATCGCGTAGCATACAAATGTATGTTAATGTAAGTTACTGCTTCGGGTACGTATGTTTAATAAAATTTTAAGCTGTGCGTTCGGACCACGCAATAGATTCTACTTGTATGGGGAAGTCGAATTCAGGTCAATGATATTATACAAAAATACGAAGTAGATATGACACTAGCTCACCGAAATTGGATCAACTTTTAAACGCCGCAGTATGGACATGCGTCATTTATATTATTAAACAGGAAAATCATTGATTCAGGTCTGATAGAAGACGCGTGAGGTGAAATTATTAATCATCAGGTGTGTGAGATAACTGGGATATAATTTTTTAAAGTTTGGCGATGCGATCGCAACTCCTCAGGTGCCGTGCATATTCATGAGCGATGCAATCACTCAAAATCAGGTGAACCACCTTTGCACTCACCAAGTTTTCACTTAAAAAACTGTACGGCTTGTAAAATGTAATTACAACATAACAAGCATTTTAGTTTCTAATTTTGTACTGGCGACATGTTTTACCGCTGAGTTTCTTGTTGATCCTTTTCTGGCGAGCTATGTTTGGATTTTGCGAGTGAAAAAGTTGTAGTATTAATTTTCGTTCGCTGTGCGACCTCGAGCTTATGAGGCCCATAGTGAGAGACCGCGTCTCGGCATCGTAGGTCATCATTAGACTGTGGTATTCTGCACGTACAAAAAACGCTGCGCAATTCCCCGAAAGCAGCCCAGCAGAGCTGGATTCTCCGATTGACCTCCTCCAAATTTGATTTGCCTTGTTGGACCATTTGTCCCAGATAGATATAGCCATCAACAATTTCGTGTGACGAGCTTCCCAATAATACGGGGATGGGCGTCACATGGACATTTGACATGATTTTCATCTTCACCATGTTGATTTACAGGTCCACCCGCTGGGGCACTCTATTGAAGTCTTCAAACATTGTACTGAGCTCCTCCAAGCACTTTGCCATGACTACGATGTCATCGGCAAACAGGTGAGTGATGTATTCGCCGTTGATATTGTTGCCACATCCTTTCCAATCCACGAGCTTGAAGGCGTCTTCCATTGCATTGGTAAAGAACTTCGGAGACGTTACATCTCCCTGCCTAACTCCCCTCTGCAACGGAATAGCCTCCGTGCTCTGATCCTGAAGTCGGATCGACATTTTGTGTTTTTACAGGAGGTTGACAGGTGGCGTTTTTATATACACTTCAACACTTCAATGTATGAATAGTCAATGTGGCACCTGTGACGAGACTGCAGTACTGCCCAAATCTCGATTGAATCGCAGGCTTTCTCAAAGTTCACAAACGCTAAGCATAGCGGCAAGTTATGCTCCTTAATCTTCTGTATAATTTGCCGCAGCGTATGAATATGGTCTATGGTACTATGGCTTGTACGGAAACCAGCCTGCCCGGGAGGCTGGAAGTCATCAATATGCGTGTGACACGATTCGTGATCACTCTCGAACACAGCTTATAACCGCATTTAAATATTTTTTATTTTTTTATTTTATGCGAAAAGTTGTCAAACGAGCAGACGGTTCACCTGATGTTAAGTGAATACCGCTGCCCATGGACATCTGCCACACCCGAGGGTTACAGATGCGTTGACAACCTTTTGAAAATTGGGCTCCGGCTACCTCACTCACCAGACGAAACGCGAAAGTATTTGTCATACTTCCACTTTACGCTGGTCTTCTGTGAGGTCGTGGTACTTACCCGGACGGGCCTGCCCATTCGTGCAACAGCCGAGGCTGCTGCGTGGCCTTACCACCGTTAAACGAAATATGTGTAAAATAATACTGTATATGTAAAAATCTCTAAATTATTTGAAATATATACGCAAAAAAATCCGTGAATCTTTAAGTTTGTTTTGTAAATCATAAACGAAATATTATAGAAAACGGAATACATGGTACTTAGAGTTTCTTCTTTCTCCTGTGCTTTTTATGTAGTGTCTGCACAGTAGGGTGTAAATCACGCTGTTAATTAGGTGTTATTCAGTTTTTCAAGCCGGCCGCCTGCAAAAAAGCTTTTTGGAAATAAACATCCAGATGCGGAACTATTTTCTGTGGATCACATAGATACTGGTCCCGCGTGGTAATCGAACTCGAAACCCTCGGAACCGTAGCTTATAGCTTTGCAGTTGCGCGCCGAATCATCAATGTCAGAACATCCTACTTACAGCTATTGTACAACAATTATTGGTAATTCTCGGTATTGCGACGTAAAAGCGTTCCCGTACAATGCGTAACCACGTAGAACAATGATTTATGCGTTGAATTAACATATTATATAATAGAAGTCTAGATACTTACGGAAGGAACAGATTCAAGCTATAAGCTATAGCAACACTGTTAATTATCTATCGGAAATCATCGCCCAACAATAGTTTTTTTTAAAAAGTAGGTAAGTAAATTTAAGAATTTGCAATTGTTTGCAAAATTTACATTCAAATGTTTTTTTTGCATGTTACGCTTCTGCATATTTTTGCAAAAAAAGTAAACCAAAAAGGTACTAAAAATATTTAATGTATTTTTCTTGAAAAAAAAATAGTTGCTATACTAAGTTCTGTTCTATAATTTTTTTCTATAACATATATTAATTTGAATAGCAGGCTATATTTGACGCTGGGCTTAGTCCGTATGTGATAATGATAGTGATGATAGATAAGTACCATTCTATTTTACTTCTACTGACTACTATCAGAAACCAATTATTAATAAAATAACGTAATCCTAAAGTACAACTAAGTTTAATAAACTTTGGATTACGGAATCTCCATGTATATACGCTATGCTTCAGACCAAAAATTCATCAAGAATTACTATTTTTAGCAACTTTTAAAAGTAGTAGTATCCTTGAACAATGTAATTAAGTATTAATTAATTATTCTAGATGATATGAAACCCGATCGCTATTTCTTTTTAGGTACAGTCGTACAGTCGTACAGACGTACAGTCAGCCATATTTTTCGTTTATAAACGCCTGTTGAGAACCAAAAAATATGCTATCCTAATTACCTTATTAAGATGTCATATTTCGCTACCTAGGATGAATTTACTAACCAGATTTTTTTCACACATTGTCATTTTCACACATTTGCCATGTTTACCTGGCTATATGCTGTGATATAAGGTTTTGAAATTATTATTATTTGGGGATATCTATTTGTTCTCTCATCTGGTTGGGTTTATAGATAAAAATTAAACATATTGCATATATAAGATAAATATTATGAATAAAAATAAATATATAGATATAAATATTGTATATAATACAATATTAAATATTATATATAATACATATATAAATAGGACCCAACCAGACGGAAGCCCTCGGTAGGGGAGACCAAAAATTATTATTATTATTATTAAAATAAAAACTATATGCATAAGCATATACTTTGGAATAGATAACTATTCCAGCAATAAATTGTTAATTTTAATTCTATTTGTAGGTAATAATAAGCATATATATGTTCTTATGGTTGAGCTCTTTTGTTGAAACTTTCTCTCGGAACAAAATTTCCTATGTCCTTAAATTTATTAACCACTGTATCAATAAAGAAAACCCATCAGAACTAGAGGAAGCTTATTAGTATCTATATGTATGAATTTTTAAGCAGTGCGCGTGTTTAACCTAGGAACTTTGAATAGGGGTTAAACTAGATTGCTTCAGATATGAAACACGTAAGTAATTTTCCAGTATCGAGGGAGATTGACACCACTTTAGCTAGTAAAATTAACGACGAACAAAGCCGAGATGGATTTAACTTTGATACTATCACTCTAGCGTACTTGCTTTGACTTTAAAGATAAAGTCGATCACAGACGCTTATGCAAGAATTAATTTGCGCCACAGAACCTTATCTTTGTTTCTAGAAAGGCAACGATGGTTGGATTATTAAGTTCAGCTTCCATTTACATGGTATTTGCCTAGACATTTTATATTAAATTTATTAAAAGAAATGGTGACTGAAATCAAATTCTATTAAGCGTTATGAACCACCACCATAAAACAGTCTTCGATAAAGAATCATTGTCATCATTATCATCATTTCAGCCCTCTAGAGTCCACTACTGATGTTCAGGCCTCTCCTACAGACTGCCATGACGCAGGACCCTGAGCCACCTGCATCCATCGACTTCCCGACTTCCATCTAGCGGGGGAGGGGGTCGTCCTACACTGCGATGGCTAACATTCGAGAACCTTTCTTCCCCATCGGTTATCGGTTCTATGAGACATATGGTCGGCCCATTGCCAATTCAGCTGACTAATCATCTGAGCTTTTTCGGTTATCTTTGATCTACTGCGGATATCTACGTAGAGAAACTACTACTCTTTCACCCAGAGAAATACGGAGCATAGCTCGCTTCATAGCTCGTTGCGCGATTTTAAAGCCAGCAGTGAAGGACCACGTCTCGGTTCTGTAGGTTGGTTTTCAAACATAGAGGGATATTCGACGAGAAGATGAGTCAAATTTCTCGAACGCTGCCCATCCGATTTGAATCCCATTGCACAATGCTTATAAGTTTGACTTAAGTAACTCGATTAACTGTCCTAGGTAAACATACTCGTTAACAACTTCGAGCATAGTGCTCCCAGCAACAACCGGTACATATTATATATACCGGATACGATTTTTGTTTTATGCATGTTCATCATAAGCCGAACCGTTGGGAGACACCATTGAGGTGAGTACGTTTGGTACTATGCGATCGATCTGATTTCATTTTATTGATGTAATAACATGACATCATAATAAATGCCGAAGTCAAGCTTGTCATTACCTTGGGCAGCAGTAGTGAATAAAGCAATTTTCTAAAAAGTATTATTAAGGAAGTGAAATTTGAAATTACTAATTATTATTATTATTTATAAAATTTTACTGGAAATAAGCTTCAGTCGGCGAAAGTGATGTGAAAAAGGCGTAATGATGACATATTTTTTATAAAGCAGCCGCCGATTCAGAAAATGTCATTTCAGTCCCAAAATTGTTATCTTTTTACAACGGCCGGCCTACTGGCGACTCGTTGTAGAGCAAGAGGGTTAGGAGATAAAATTACCTTTGTTCCATTGTGCCGAAACGAGTACCGTAATTGCGTTCAACCCGTTCATTGTATTTTAAATGAGAAAATCAATAATTCACAAAGGGAAAGCGCCTACAGCTCTGAATGAAAAGGTGAAATTTAATAAAAATATACTTCATTACATTT